ATCTTTAAAAAGTGTAGAAGAGTATACTATAAACTAATAATATAAAAACAATACAAATAACAGGTCATAGATATCTACAGTGGCAAGGACACGAACCACAAACAATGCTAAATATAAAATGTAATGTAAGTTAGACTGTACTATAAATCATGATATTAGAGTAGCACAAACACACATGTATACTGTACAGCAACACAATATTCGTATTAAAAGCCAATAACGGAACCTTATACTTGCAAGTATGACGTCTCACCAGAGAGCACGTGCTGTTCTGAGTGAAACAGGCTCTCTTTATAAGAGGACATCAAAGCAGATTTACATTACAAGATCATTCTGGGAGGCCAGCTGATACCCCCTCTGGCACTGTATGCAAAACCCTCAATACAAGACAATGGATATCCCGATACCCCTCAGACACAGTATTCAAAACCTCACCCCCTCTGTTGACCACACATACATGACCTAATCAGAGGAACAGTTTACAGTTAGCAATGTTAACAATACATAATATGTAGACATTACACAGTGCCGTCCTTGGCCAACTTGAGGCCCCACACAAAGTTATATGATGAGGCAACACGCTCTCACTCCCTAAACGTCCAGGAGCGACGCTTGGTCAGGGACCCGTGGCGTGCAGTTGGGACGCGCCGAGGCTCCTTCAGCTTCATAAAGGAACGCAAATAACTTTCAACTGATTGCAATGTATTCCCATCGGCTGCGGTATTTGACGCTCATGGAAGCACCGCATTCATTTATGTCGGCAGCTCTTAAAGGCAATGTGAGCGTCCATTCTCATTGGATAACGGAGAGTCTGTAACTCCCGGAAGTAAGTATTCTCCTTACTGTCGATTGATTTGACGGTGCTATCGCACTACTCATCAACTCAAAAACACCAGATTACCTTTGTTAATTAAACGACATTGATAGGTTTAAATTGTGTGCAGTGCTTTTGTATTTTTCCCCTTCAATTTCTGAGAAACAACTTGTTTTCTCTGAAATGTGGAGCGCCAAAGAGGACTACACTACCCACCAATCCCCAGCTATTGTTGTGACGATTGCCTGTCCGCTTTGCGACAAACCCCGTGATTTACTGACTGTTAGATGTCATGTTTCTATCTCATTGGCCTCAGAGCTGTCTGTCTGCTGGAGACCCTTATTAAAAACCTGCTGTTCTCTGTCTGACTAGTGGACTGTAAGACCCTTGTTTATATATCAGTTTGATAAACTGCTATGTCCAAGAATTAAAGGCTACGGTCTCAAAGTCAAAAAATACATTTATGAATAACATAACTTAGATGAACATTTTATTTTTGTATTCAACCTTTATTTAACCAGAAAAAAAACATTGTGATAAAATCTCATGTACAAGGCTGACCTGGCCAAGACACATAACATGTAAAATACAGAGAACACAATTAAAATACACCAAATACAAAAACCCTGACTCTTTACAAACCACATTTTGGATAATGGAGGAAAAAGAAAGTAAAGTTTTTCTACACATGTTCCCACATTAACATATATTTACATAACTTCAGCTGCACTTGCATTTATTTGACTCCACCTAACTAGATGTAATGCAACTACATTTATTTCTTCCTACAAAGCATCTTTTCTTCTAACATAGAAGAAATAAAATGTCATATGTTCATTATAAACAATCAGCACGGATAAATCCAATCAAGGATCAATTAGTTAAAACATGGTGGATACATCTGAATCATTTCCAGTGATCTTTTAAAGTGTCTTTCCCTTTTGTGTAGTGCTCACAGAATGTAATGTGATTACTATACGTATCATGTTTTGGGTTTCTTTTCATAATAGCTGCACACAAATATATATTCTTCCTCAAAAGTCGTGTCTGACAGTTGAATCAGAAGATGATGAGAACCTTGGACTTTTCTTGTTTTATAACATTTTGCTCCAATGATTCATTTGAAGAGGGTTTCAGACTCTTTGGGTTTGATTCTCTGAGGAACTCATTGTCTGTAATCTACATGCTTGTATTTCATTCTAAAAGGAGATATAGTATGCAAAACTTTGGAAACATAGACAGCGAGAGAAACACACAGTAGAAATGCTATAACTGCCACTCCAAAGTAGAACAAGATGTCTCTCCGTCTCTCTGCTTGTGGACTCTCTGTTGGTCTCTGAGTTTGGAGCTCAGCAGCAGCTGTGGATAATACACAGTTAGTAACATCATGTTGACATGGAGAAAACCTCTTTCAGACTGAATACAATCACCACCTGCACCAGAGGTTGCATTGCCTCTGCATCTTTGTTTACCATTATAATAGAGTTAAAGTCTACACATTAAAGAAGTGAAGGTTTACATTTAAAGGTCACCTCAGTGGCGAACCGTGTCTGTCTCAAGTGGACCTTCTGTAGACACACACACACACCCGCCGCCGCCACCACCCTCCCCCGCCGGCATTATGATGTCCGTCTTTCCACTGAATTGTCGTCTTGAAAAGGGTACTCACAACAATTCCGCAACAACTTCATCTTCACCTGTTGCACTTGTCATTTCAACATTAAAAACAATAAAACGCCATGAATTGCTTCGTCGCATTCATATAGATCAGTGTTTCTCAAACTTTTTCACACCAAGGACCACTTAACCAATAAAAAAACACTCGCGGACCACCTAACTCCACAAATATCCAAAAACACATCGTTTTTTACAAATCGCCTGAAAATGGTACAAACAAGTGGCAACGTGTGTGATGAAGGTGCTTATCTGGGCTATATCATGCAATCGAAAGTGAAACTTAATCTCACTCCATTGAGGAGATATTCCCACGAGAGTGCGGAAAACTTTTATTTATTTATTTATTTCAAATGTGAAATGTTACCAATATACTCACGGACCACTAGGGGGCGCTCACGGACCACCAGTGGTCCGCGGACCACACTTTGAGAAGCACTGAATTCTAGATCCTCTGTCTCGAGCCAGTTAACTAGCGGGCCTTCTAGAGGACCCTGGAACCGAGGGGAACTCTGAAAGAACACGCCCATTGGCTACCAATCAATATATGATTGGTTGATCAAACTGTCAGTCCAAACGTACGCTCTCATTCAGTGCAACGGCCAGGGCATTCGATCAAGGATGTAGAATACCTTGGTGAAGGATGTTCGACCCAGAGACCCAGAACAAGATCTGATTGGTTGCTTTCTTTTCTAACACAAAACCACTGAAATGCGTAGTGCATGGTCCGAGAAGGACAAACCAATCAACGTAACACTGTAATACTACAGATCAACAACACAGATACCATTCTCATTTATTCATTTTTATATACATTTTATTTATATAATTAAATCGATTTTTTGTTTGTTTTATCTGAGTGTTCCAGGATGTTCTCTGAATACCTTGAAGGCCCTGACGGTTCGCCACTGGTAAATACGCAAAATTAACTTCTTCATGTCTCTCCTACATCAACATGTGTCCCCTCTTCTTCATGTCTCTTCTACATCAACATGTGTCCCCTCTTCTTCATGTCTCTTCTACATCAACATGTGTCCCCTCTTCTTCATGTCTCTTCTACATCAACATGTGTCCCCTCTTCTTCATGTCTCTTCTACATCAACATGTGTCCCCTCTTCTTCATGTCTCTTCTATATCAACATTAGTCCCCTCTTCTTCATGTCTCTTCTTCACCACCATGTGTCCCCTCTTCTTCATGTCTCTTCTTCATCAACATGTGTCCCCTCTTCTTCATGTCTCTTCTACATCAACATGTGTTCCCCTCTTCTTCATGTCTCTTCTACATCAACATGTGTCCCCTCTTCTTCATGTCTCTTATACATCAACATGTGTCCCCTCTTCTTCATGTCTCTTCTACATCAAACATGTGTCCCCTCTTCTTCATGTCTCTTCTACATCAACATGTGTCCCATCTTCTCATGTCTCTTCTACATCAACATGTGTCCCCTCTTCTTCATGTCTCTTCTACATCAACATGTGTCCCCTCTTCTTCATGTCTGTTCTACATCAACATTAGTCCCCTCTTCTTCATGTCTCTTCTACATCAACATGTGTCCCCTCTTCTTCATGTCTCTTCTACATCAACATGTGTCCCCTCTTCTTCATGTCTCTTCTACATCAACATGTGTCCCCTCTGTGGAAAGAGACTCTGAAAGTTTCAGGAACAAAGATTCTCTCTCTTTTTGATCCATTTCTATAAAAACCTGTCTGAAAATGAGCTGATCAGATTTTGGCCACTTTATGATGTCATAACGATGTTTTGGTCTTGTGTAACCATTAGCCAATCAGCAACCAAGGTAACCCCCCCCCCCCACCTTATCACCTGTAGCTCCTCCGAGAGCACCATTGAGTTCTTTGTAACCAAATGTCTCTCAGAGGGGCGTGGGGAGGGGCTCCTTATTTTTATCTAAAGTAACAGACAGAGAATCAGCACTTTGGAAACAGGGCTGAAACAGAGGGGATTATGGGTAATGCTGCAATGATCTGTTTGGTGTTTCAGCCAATCAGAGACAGGCTCTGGATATATCTGAGACCTGTGATATATTGATGAAAAACAGTATAATGGGGACCTTTAAATACAGCACTTCTACTGAGGTTACTCACCAGTGACGTTGAGCCAGCATTTCATAGAGTTACTCCCATCAGGTATGACGAGTATGTCACATCGATAAAACCCAGAGTCATTGGTCCTGAGTCTGGAGACATGAAGTGTGAGGCGTCCTTCTGTGAGGACGTCTTTGTCCCACTGGACTCGTCCTGAAAACTGTGGATCCTGAGACTCTGGGGATTCAATGCCTTCATTTAGATTAAACAGGACGTAGGGTCTGCTCTCAGTAAACATCTCACAGAAGATAGAAATGGATCTGAGGGAAGTGTCTGTTCTGGTGCTGAAGGTCCACTCCAGGGTGATGTTCTGGTTCTCCTCTGCCTGATAGGAAGTCTGAGTCACATTCACTACAAATGTTCCTGTGGAGGAAACACAGAGGGACTCTTTAAACTGCAGTTATGTTCCTGTGGAGGAGACACAGAGGGACTATTTAAACTGCAGCTATGTTCCTGTAGAGGAGACACAGAGGGACTCTTTAAACTGCAGCTATGTTCCTGTGGAGGAGACACAGAGGGACTCTTTAAACTGCAGCTATGTTCCTGTGGAGGAGACACAGAGGGACTATTTAAACTGCAGCTATGTTCCTCTAGAGGAGACACAGAGGGACTCTTTAAACTGCAGCTATGTTCCTGTGGAGGAGACACAGAGGGACTATTTAAACTGCAGCTATGTTCCTGTGGAGGAGACAAAGAGGGACTCTTTAAACTACAGCTATTTTCCTGTGGAGGAGACACAGAGGGACTCTTTAAACTGCAGCTATGTTTCTTTGCTGCTTTACTGAGCTTTAAAGGTCCCCTGTAAATGACGTAACGAAGTTGCCTTAATTAAAAGGAGTAACAAGGTTAATGTCATAGTTCAATTGGATAAATGAATACTTTATTTCATGTTATTTATAATCGTTAAATATGGCATGATTTAATACAGTTTGTTTTACATCTTGGGCCGATATGCGTATGTGTTTCTTGTGCCTAGGAACTAATGTTTGTTCATGTGCTGGTACTGCGTGTTTTGCTGTTACACTGTACAACTCCATGTGGGTTGACGTCTTTTTGAAGCTCTGCTGAGGTCTGTGATAAAGTTTAGTGTGACGGGAGGTCTGTGACGAAGTTATGCAGAAAAGGAACTAAATTAATCTCCTTTCACGACAAGCGGCCAACGAGGTATTTGTTTTGTGTTTTCATTTTCTTGTTTTCATTCATATGTGTAGCACAATATGCTAATGTGTTTGGCTATGTATGCGTGTCATTTCGGTGTTGTAGTTCTCACGGCGTAACGGAAGAGGGAAGACTACAGGATGAAAACTCCCAAGAAATAAACGCCCGTTTTAAAGAACCGACCTGTGTCTGTGTCGTGAAAAGAGCTACAGTGAGAACTCGCCTGCTCAGCGCGGGTGGGAAAGACAACGAGACTGGAGCGAGAGACGACGCTGCGTTCAAGGACCATCCAGCACATCAGAGAAGCAACGCCAGCGGTGCACTGTCGGCATGACGACCGCAAGCTACGGTGATTAGACTGTGTCAAAGTCGCAACATTTCAGGATAAAGCCAGGAAGTGCTCTACCATATCCTTCAAGTTAAAGGTGGTGTGAGAAGTGGTTAATCTGGAAATTGCAAATAAGGACTCAGGTCTATCATCTATGCTAAGCCTATGCTGGTGATGAAGCTAATGTGTTGGTGTTCATGAATGGTACATGTCAAAGGGTTTTAAAGACGAAAATTAATCATATAAGAAAGTAAAGAAATTATAAGTTAATATTAAAGAAAGAAGATATTATTTATAAGTTCAAGTTAAAAAAGAAGAACGTTTTCACATTTTATGAAAGGTATTACACTTAAAGGACAATTTACTTGAGCTTTAAAGGGTAATTCCACTGACAAAAACATTTTCTTTGTAAAGTATAAGTGATGTAATGCCTTTCTAAGCATATTTCACTACATTTAAGGTTTATTAGTAACAAGCTAAATCTTATTCTTGTTGTTGTTATTTTGTTGTAAAGCTGAGGTCAAGTTAAACTTGTTAATGAGTGCATACATTTGATAACCTCACTGATTACTTATGTATACATTCAGAGATCCAATTCAAGCTTAGTAGTTACACATGCTCTATTACAGTCGGTTATAAGTTATTAAGTAATCTCAAAATGTCAGAAGCAGGGACTGAGACCTGCCACAAAAATGCCAAATCATCTGCTCAACTTGAAACAACAGAAACAGAGTTGGCAGAAGAAGTGGAAGAGCTACGAAGAAGTGAAAGAAATCGAACACTAACAGAAAAAGGAAAAGAACTCCAAGCTGAAAAGTTGAAAAGTGTACAACGTCACTACAGAATCGTCTATGAGAAATGGAGGTACCATGTGAGAATAGGCAAAGAAATACTGAATGATGACGCCTCCAAGGATGAATTGAGAGAGCTTATTGCAAATATAAAAAGCTCTTGCTCAGATGTAAAAGCCTTGTATGAAGAGTTACGTCTCATACATACTCCTGAACCGAACCTGCGACGCAGAGTTGATACATGCATATCACTCTCAGGATTCATTATTCGAAAGGCAGAGAGACAGCTTGAAGAGAATACAGCAGACTTAAAGGAAGAATCTTGGCCCGAAGTTGGATCTGTTCTAAACTCAACTGACTCTTCATTATCTCCACTGTCTTGTCGATCAAAGTGTAGCTACGCTCATTCTAGTCTTCTCAAAAGATTTGAAGCTGCAGCTGAAGCCGCTGCATCTCAGGAAGTCCTAGCAGTTTTAGGTGAACAAGAAAAGGAAGCAACAGAACTTCAAAGGCTGGAGACTGAAGATAAAAAACAGATGGCACAATTTGAGTTCGAAAGGCAAGCCAGACTTCAGGCAATGCAAGAAAAGCGCAGAAAGCTTGAACGCCTAGAAGAGGTTAAAAAGCTGAAAGCCGCAAGAGCTCGAGTCAAGGTGTACAATCGAATGGAAGAAAATTATGAAGCAATCGACTCACTGTATGATGTTGAACCAGCTAGAGAAACCCAAGCTCTGTACTCCACAACTCCACCATTCGTTTATCAGTCTCAGCCAGTAACAGCACAAGTCATCAATGCTTCAAGTCCTCCGTTCATACCTCAACCTCTACAACCTGCAAGTCAAGCTTATAGTCTCCACAGTCCACAGCAAGTACCACAAGCTCTACCAACCTCAATGCCCTTAGCTCAGATGCAGAATAGTGCTGACTTGGTTAAAATACTAGCAGAAGCAATAAGTGCAAATCACCTTCCAACACCAGAGCCTGCATTATTCACAGGAGATCCTTTGAAATTCAAAGACTGGCAACTATCCTTTGAAACTTTAATAGACAGGAAAAACATTCCAAAGAATGAAAAACTGTATTACCTTAGAAAGTACATAGGAGGTGCTGCAAAGAAAGCAGTAGAAGGATTCTTCCTGTTAGGCACCGAAGCAGCATATGACTCTGCCTGGCAGCTGTTAAAAAAACGTTTTGGAGACCCATTTATTATTGGGAAGTCCTTCAGAGACAAGCTACATGGATGGCCAAAGATAAGCTCTAAAGATGGCAGCGAACTAAGAGAATTTGCAGACTTCCTTAAGAGCTGTGAGGCTGCAATGCCCCACATTAAGACATTAGAAGTACTGAATGACTGCAACGAGAGTCAACAAATATTGATGAAACTGCCAGATTGGTTGGTATCCGGCTGGAACCGAAAAGCAATGGAGGCCAGACATGCAAATGGTGGTTACCCACCATTCAAAGTGTTTGTAGATTTCATATCAAAGGAAGCAGATCTCGCATGTGATCCCATATCCTCGATACAAGCTATCAGGAGTGTCGAAAGTGAAAAAACAAAGAATCCAAGAAGCCAAACTATTCAAGCAAAGACACTGTCCACAAACACAACACAAAGTAGCATCCCAACATGCATCCTTTGCAAAGGAACAGGACACGTCCTCCCAAAGTGTAGAAAGTTTGTAGAAAAGACAGTTGAAGATCGCATCAAGTTTGTGTATGCAGAAAGGCTATGCTTTGGATGTTTGAATACTGGTCATCAGTCAAAGGCGTGCAATGACAAAAGCACATGTGAAAAGTGTCAGAGGAGACATCCAACGTGTTTGCATGACGACAAGTTCAAACGCAAAATGTCAACTACCTTTAATGGAGACGACATCTCAAAGGACAAAACAGACACCAAAGAAATCGCTGCAACCACCAACAGAGTCATACAAGAAGGCCCAAGCACACTAACGTCCGCAATCATACCAGTCTGGGTCTCATCCACAAAACAGCCAGAACAAGAAGTTCTTGTCTACGCACTCTTGGACACACAGAGTGACACGACTTTCATTCTAGATGAAGTGGCCCAAAATCTTGACACAAACAAAGAAAATGTTCGTTTGCGGCTATCTACAATGTCAACAAAGTCAACAGTCATACCCTGTCAGAAACTGACAGAACTTCAAGTGAGGGGATACGACCTGGAAAAAATGATTCCTTTGCCACCTCTTTTCACAAGAGAGTTCATTCCAGTTGACAGGTCACACATTCCTACCTCAGAGACAGCTCTAAAATGGCCACATTTGGAACAGTTGGCAGACAAGATTCCACCACCATTGGATTGCGAAGTAGGTCTTTTAATCGGATATAACTGTCAGCAAGCCCTTCTTCCAAGAGAGATCCTATCCGGTAAAGACAATTATCCATATGCACAGCGGACGGATCTTGGCTGGAGTATCGTCGGTTGCTCGAATCCAGCAAAGGATTACTGTGACACAATAGGAACTAGTCACAGAATCGTAGTGCGACAAGTAACACCTGCTGTCCAGCCAGCAATTCAGCTGAAGAGAGCAGTACACTTTGTGTGCAAAACTCAAGTCAAAGAGATCCATCCAACAGACATACTCAAGGTTCTCGAGTCGGATTTCACTGAACACACTACAGATGATAACCAAGTGTCTCAGGAGGACCTTCTCTTCTTGTCTAAAGTAAAGGAAGGTATCCGCCAAAGAGAAGACGGCCACTATGAACTCCCTCTTCCCTTCAAATCGGATAACCCTCATCTCCCTGACAATAAACGATCTGCAGTTCACAGACTGATCTCATTGGAAAGACGACTAAGGAGAAATGAACAGTATTACAAGGATTACGTTCATTTCATGAATGACATAATAACCAGAGGCGATGCTGAGAAGGTTCCAGAGTCTGAACTCAACAACCAAATATCATGGTACATTCCGCACCACGGAGTCTACCACCCCCACAAACCCGGAAAAATCCGTGTGGTTTTTGATTGTTCAGCACGTTTCCAAGAAACCTCTCTAAACGATCATCTCTTGACTGGTCCCGACCTGACAAACACGCTCATTGGAGTGTTATGTAGATTTAGAAAGGGTCCGGTAGCCATAATGTGCGATGTTGAACGGATGTTCCACCAATTTCATGTCACAAAGGAACACCAAAACTACCTAAGGTTTCTCTGGTGGGACAAAGGCGACCTGGACTCAAAACCTTCAGTATATAGGATGAGAGTGCACCTGTTTGGAGCAGCGTCATCCCCTGGCTGCTCCAACTTTGGATTCAAACATCTGGCATCCCAGGGTCATGGGAAGTTCAGTGAAGAGTCCATCAAGTTTATACAGAGAAGCTTCTATGTGGACGATGGCCTAATAAGTGTAAGGTCACCGGCTGAAGCCATCTGTCTTGTTGAAGAGTCAAGAGCCTTGTGCAGAACAGGAAATCTTCGTCTTCACAAGTTCGTATCCAACGACAAAGAGGTGATTGCCGCAATACCACCTGAAGAACTTGCCAAAAACAAGGATCTAGACTTAACTCTTGGAGAACTTCATATTGAGCGAGCACTTGGAGTTCAGTGGTGTGTTGAAGCAGATGAATTCCAATTCAGAGTTGTGGTTAAGGAAAATCCACTGACAAGGAGGGGAGTTCTCTCAACCGTTGCCTCTGTCTTTGATCCTCTTGGATTTGTGGCCCCCTTTGTGCTCCTCGGAAAACAAATCCTTCAGACTCTATGTCGGGACAGAGTGAGCTGGGACGAAGCTCTCCCTGCTCATATCCTGCCACAATGGGAGTCATGGCTTAGAGGTTTATCTCACTTGGCAACCCTAAAAATTCCAAGATGTTATCTTCCATCAAGCTTTGGCGAGGTCAAACAATATGAACTGCACAACTTTTCAGATGCAAGTACCAACGGCTACGGTGCATGCTCTTACCTCAGAGCTATAAGCAAAACAGGTCAGATCAATTGCTCACTCATCATGGGGAAGGCAAGAGTAACCCCTACCAAACTAACGACTATCCCAAGACTTGAGTTGTCGTCAGCTGTGACTTCAGTACGCAATGGTGATGTCATCAAACGCGAGCTGGAGATTGAAAACCTGCAAGAATATTACTGGACTGACTCAAAGGTAGTCCTTGGTTACTTGAACAACGATGCCAAGAGGTTCCACACGTTTGTTGCCAACCGTATCCAGCGCATAAGATCTAGCACCAACCCTGAACAATGGCGACATGTCAGCTCTGAAAATAACCCAGCCGACTACGCCTCAAGGGGGCTGAGCGCAGTTCAGCTCAAAGAGTCTAACTGGCTAAAAGGACCTGACTTTCTTTTCCAGCTGAACCTTCCATGTGAAGAGAAGGTGAGAGCAGTGGAAACAGACGATCCTGAACTTCGCAAAGTTCATGTTCACACAGTCAAAACTAAGGAAGAAAATTCACTGTTGAACCGCTTCTCTAAGTTTTCTGACTGGTCCAGGACAGTGAGAGCTGTCGCAAGACTCAAGAGATTTGTCAGAGAATCCAGGAGACTTCAGCGAAGAACTAATGAAGCAACTAACCTTGCAGAAAGAAGAGAAGCAGAAATCTTTATTATCAAGCTGGTGCAAGAAGAGGCCTTCACCGAAGAAATTAAAACAGTTCAGCTTCAAAAGGGAAGCACCTTGAACAAGCACAACAAGCTACACCTGTTGAATGCCTTCCTGGACAAGAACAATGTTCTTAGGGTGGGAGGACGGCTATCTCAATCAGCCTTACATCATGACATAAAACATCCTGCAATACTTCCGAAGAAAGCTCATGTGTCCGCCTTGCTCGTCAAACATCATCATGAGCGTGTACATCACCAAGGAAGAGGCATGACAATGAATGAGGTACGTGCGAATGGAATATGGATCCTGGGATGTGGAAATGTAGTTTCATCACACATCTACAAGTGTGTAAAATGTAGGAAATACAGAAGAACCACAGAGACTCAACAAATGGCCGATCTGCCAGAAGACAGAACCGAGACATCCCCTCCGTTTACTTACTGCGGTATAGATTGTTTTGGTCCCTTTATTGTGAAGGAAGGAAGAAAGGAGGTAAAACTATATGGATTGTTGTTTACCTGCCTATGCTCCAGAGCGGTGCATATAGAGACGCTAGACGATTTGACGACAGATGCCTTCATGAATGCACTTCGAACAATGGTAGCAATCAGAGGACCTGTGCGCCAATTACGATGCGACCAAGGAACAAACTTCATTGGTGCCAGGAGGGAGTTTTCTGAGTTGCTCAAAGGAATGGATCAGGAACGTCAACGAGCAATTGGTTGCGAATTTGTAATGAATGTTCCTTCAGCAAGCCATATGGGAGGAGTCTGGGAACGCCAAATCAGAACGATTCGAAGCATTCTGACAGTCATGTTAGACAAGTCTGCAAGCAGACTAGACACCACAACTCTGAGAACATTCCTTTACGAAACAATGGCAATAATTAACAGCAGGCCGTTAAGTGTTGAACACCTCCACGATCCTACTGGTCCAGAGCCTCTCACTCCCAACCACATAATAACCATGAAGTCATCAGTTATTCTGCCCCCTCCTGGAGAGTTCTGTAAAGAAGACCTCTATCTGCGCAAGAGATGGAGAAGAGTGCAGTTCTTAGCCAATGAGTTCTGGCGAAGATGGAAACGAGAATACTTGCTAAACCTCCAACAGCGGCAGAAATGGCCAAAGGCATCACAAAATTCACAAGTAGATGACATTGTCATTCTGCGAGACGACAACCTACCAAGAAATGAGTGGAAGCTCGCCAGAGTTGTAGAAACTCACCCTGGAACAGACGGCTTGGTGCGAAAGCTAAAGTTACTAGTCAGTAACACTACACTTGATAAAGGAAAACCACACACTAGACTAGTCTACCTCGAAAGACCTATTCATAAGGTAGTCACCTTACTTCAGGCCACTTAAGTCCCATACATGAGAGTATAGTCATACACACTGAAAACACTTGACTGTTTCTTTGCATTTTGTTTGAACTAAATCCCACATTTGAGTTAATGAGTGATTTGGTGGGAGTGTAAATGACGTAACGAAGTTGCCTTAATTAAAAGGAGTAACACGGTTAATGTCATAGTTCAATTGGATAAATGAATACTTTATTTCATGTTATTTATAATCGTTAAATATGGCATGATTTAATACAGTTTGTTTTACATCTTGGGCCGATATGCGTATGTGTTTCTTGTGCCTAGGAACTAATGTTTGTTCATGTGCTGGTACTGCGTGTTTTGCTGTTACACTGTACAACTCCATGTGGGTTGACGTCTTTTTGAAGCTCTGCTGAGGTCTGTGATAAAGTTTAGTGTGACGGGAGGTCTGTGACGAAGTTATGCAGAAAAGGAACTAAATTAATCTCCTTTCACGACAAGCGGCCAACGAGGTATTTGTTTTGTGTTTTCATTTTCTTGTTTTCATTCATATGTGTAGCACAATATGCTAATGTGTTTGGCTATGTATGCGTGTCATTTCGGTGTTGTAGTTCTCACGGCGTAACGGAAGAGGGAAGACTACAGGATGAAAACTCCCAAGAAATAAACGCCCGTTTTAAAGAACCGACCTGTGTCTGTGTCGTGAAAAGAGCTACATCCCCTATTATACTGTTTTTCATCAATATATTATAGGTCTCAGATACAGAGCCTGTCTCTGATTGGCTGAAACACCAAACAGATCATTGCAGCATTACCCATAATCCCCTCTGTTTCAGCCCTGTTTCCAAAGTTCTGATTCTCTGTCTGTTACTTTAGATGAAAATAAGGAGCTCCTCCCCACGCCCCTCTGAGAGACATTTGGTTACAAAGAACTCAATGGTGCTCTAGGAGGAGATTCAGGTGATAAGGGGGGGGTTCCCTTGGTTGCTGATTGGCTAATGGTTACACAAGACAAAACATCGTTATGACCTCATAAAGTGGACAAAATCTGATCAGCTCATTTTCAGACATGAAAATATGTATAGAAATGGATCAAAAAGAGAGAGAATCTTTGTTCCTGAAACTTTCAGAGTCACATGTTGATGTAGGAGAGACATGAAGAAGAGGGGAGACATGTTGATGTAGAAGAGACATGAAGAAGAGGGGAGACATGTTGATGTAGTAGAGACATGAAGAAGAGTGGACACATGTTGATGTAGAAGAGACATGAAGAAGAGGGGACACATGGTGATGTAGGAGAGACATGAAGAAGAGGGGACACATGTTGATGTAGAAGAGACATGAAGAAGAGGGGACACATGTTGATGTAGAAGAGACATGGAGAAGAGGGGACACATGTTGATGTAGAAGAGACATGAAGAAGAGGGGACACATGTTGATGTGGAAGAGACATGAAGAAGAGGGGACACATGTTGATGTAGAAGAGACATGAAGAAGAGGGGACACATGTTGATGTAGAAGAGACATGAAGAAGAGGGGACACATGTTGATGTAGAAGAGACATGAAGAAGAGGGGACACATGTTGATGTAGAAGAGACATGAAGAAGAGGGGACACATGTTGATGTGGAAGAGACATGAAGAAGAGGGGACACATGTTGATGTAGAAGAGACATGAAGAAGAGGGGACACATGTTGATGTAGAAGAGACATGGAGAAGAGGGGACACATGTTGATGTAAAAGAGACATGAAGAAGAGGGGACACATGTTGATGTAGATGAGACATGGAGAAGAGGGGACACATGTTGATGTAGAAGAGACATGAAGAAGAGGATTTAGCATAATTGGTGACCTTTAAAGAGACAAACTAACCAGAGACACAGGAGGTGAGGAAGAGGAGCTGCAGGATGAGGAAGATCATCTTCTCCCTGTGAGAGGAAACACACATCAAGGGTCAGAGGTCAGACTTTAACATATTATCACGGTCTGAGCTGCAGTGATGGGTTTCTGCCACAAAATGGTACCAGTAGTTAATGATGAGATATCATGTGTTCTGGCAAACCCATCACTGCAGCTTAGACCGGTTTTATTTCCTAATCTCAAAACTGCTTGTGGAAGGGAAGAGGTGAGTTTAATTTGTTTTAAATCCATCAGCAGCTGTTTGCTTCAGTTAGTATGTTTGGTTCCACACATCAACATGTAACAACACAGCATTTCACTTTAACTATTACAACAACTATTATTTTTATATTTTGTTGCATTCAAATTATTTATAAAATCTGGAGGACAACAACAATTGTTGGTTTGAGTTATAAACTGAGCTCAATGGGGGTCTTAAAAACTAATGTGTGCGCATGCACTCACACACGTATGCCTCAAGTGCCTTTAAGTGCCTGCTGTATGTGGTCCAGGCTTCTGATCCATACAGAAGAGTGGGGAGCACCACGGCTTTATAGACCAAGATGTTGGTCTTTGCTTGGAGGTCACGGTTCTCAAAGACTCTCTTCCTTAGCCTTGAGAAAGCCACACTGGCACAGCTGAGGCGATGGTGTATTTCATCATCAATAACAGCTTTTGATGATAGGAGGCTGCCAAGTTATGGGAAGTGGTCCACATTTTCCAGTCTGATGTTGTCAATGGAGATGTTTAGGGGTAGGACAGGCGTACTATATGGTGGTTGTTTGACCTTTAGCCCCCGTCAGTTCTGTACATGATGTTGACTCCCTGGGGCAGATGCTTGCTTGTGAGATGTATAGCAGCAACAAAGATGGAGAATAGCGTTGGAGCAATGACACATCCCTGTTTGACTCCTGTGTCGACCCGGAAGGGTTCAGTTTTGTGTCCACTGCATGAGTACCATGGCTGATATATTGTCATGCAGCAATATGACACACACACACACACACACACACACACACACACACACACACACACACACACACACACACACACACACACACACACACACACACACACACACACACACACACACACACACACACACACACACACACACACACACACACACACACACACACACACACACACACACACACATACACACATACACACACACACACACACACACACACAGCCCTCTGCTTGCTACAAACTTAAATATGAAAAGGTTCAACTACGCACACACAAATCATCTCGGCTCGCGCAGCATGCTCAAGGGCATATATTGCGCAATCATGTATTGCGCAATAATGTATTGCGCAATAATTTATTGTGCACCTTGGAGGTGCAGTGAGTGCAGGCATTTTGTCATTCAAGAGATGTGTAGTTCTTTTGGAAAACATGTTTTTCTTTTAACCTATTTACCTCGTTAACGTATACTACTCATTACATTGACACATGCATCATTTGTGATTAAAATAATGGTTGTTGGTAATGTATTAGCGACGCACAGATATAGGATTTCACTGCGTCCGTGGGAGCTTAGACCCTCCTTATGGGAGCTCAGCTCCCACATAACTCGAACCCTGGTTGTAGGAGCCAAAATGCTTGTTTTGCCATTACTTATTACTTCTATTATTATCATCTTCATTTCTGTTTGCATCACGTTTAATTATTGTTGTTTATCACTTCCGCCATTGGTTACGTGTGGTTCATTGGTATGTAGGTCACCTGTTGGAAGCCGGTTTCGTCTTTATTAAACACCGTCAACTTTTAGCCTCTCAGCGGCTATCAGGGAGTTTTTTATGAGTTTTCCTATTTTACGTGACATCACATGTCTGTTGAATTGTGTTTTTACCGAGTGAACCCACCACATTATAATCCAGTAACACTTTGTCTAATCCTCACATTATAATCAATATGATCATACTAAAAAAATGCCTACGTTACGTTTGTGAGTTTTCAGTGCATTACAATCCAAATGGAGAGACGAGAGACATGTCCTGTCTTTGTGTCCGAAGTCTTCAGAGCTGCAGGAGTACAGGTGGAGGTGCTGAGGTGAATAATGTACCGAGTCGTCTTTACAGGAAGAGTTTCAACGTCAACAGTAATCTGAGGAGGAGTTTAGCACACGCCCTGTTGTTAATAATTCTCAGAGTGAATCAGGTGGTTGCAGACTCACAGGAGAGATAAGGGTTTATATTTATCATTATGTTATGTTAAGGTTTCAACTTCCTCAGTCTCAACCCATGAATCTGAATGTATCACACATTTTCCACATACATTAGGAAAAAACCTGAAGGACAGAAATCTTCTTGTTACAAAGTTGATTCTGAAATAAGATCAACATCGTGTCAGATAAAACATGAACTCTGCACTGAGGGGATATCATTCAATACTTCTTTGTACTTAATAAGTCCCTCAGGCTTTATATTGAAATCACTGATTAAAGGCTGCAGCTTCTCTCCACTGACTGAATGATGAGTTGTGCATGTAAAGAGCTTGAGGGGTCCTAAAGACTGGATACAGCGTTATATATAAACACAATGTAACACTTGAATACACAGTTGTTCAACTGAATCTTGATATTATCCATACTCTTACTTTATAAAGTCTAACAAAATAACCAAAGTTTCCCTGTGATGCTGATCGAGTTAGCCGTTCTGTGCAACCCGATATCACGGCAAGACGTGAACATGTGACGGTTTACCATGCTGGGAGACGTGAAGATGTCCCGATTTCGTCCCTTCAAACGTGACAGCTACACGGTATTGTTAACCCATGTTAACCAGTGGAGAAATAACCGGAAATACCAAGCAAATGCTACCCCGACGTAATGATTTATTTTGTAAATAAACTCGATTACAGCGATGTTCTTGTTGCCTCAGCTGGTCGACACCTCTTTGAGCAGAAACAAAGGCTACATTAAAGTATTACATCGATGTTAATCCATGCGTGTGGATGTGGAATCAACGGACGTGACGTTGTGCGATTGAGTTGCCAGGCAACAGCTTCGGTTCATGTTAATTTACAAACTATTCAACTAGAACCGTAGTTATATTTAAAAACATGTTAGAAGGCCTCACGAAATACTTTAATGCAAATTAAAATGTAAATGTGAAGGAATGTGTGTATAACAAAATACATCGGTCATAAACTAAACCGGAAACAGACGTAGGCAAGATCCTCAGCTCGATGATTGGATGGTTATCCGCAATGCATGCTGGGATTTGGTGTTTATGTTTAACAGTGAGAGAAAGAATATTCTTAGTTCTTGATGGAGAAACCCTTGTTGGACAGAGAGGTCAGACTCTTCTTGTAGCTGGTCTCCAGGTTTGTGAACATCTCAGGAACGATTGTGGTCCACTCCTCTCTGAAGATGCTCTCCAAATCCTGAAGCTTTTGAGGCTGATGTTTGGCACCTGGAAGCTTCAGCTCCCTCCACAGATTTTCTATGTGATTAAGGTCCGGAGACTGGCTAGGCCCCTCCATCACCTGAATGAGCTTCTTCTTTAGCCACTCCTGTATTGCCTTGGCCGTATGTTCAGGGCAACCCGATATCACGGCAAGACGTGAACATGTGACGATTTACCATGCTGGGAGACATGAAGATGTCACGATTTCGTCCTTTCAAATGTGACAGCTACACGGTATTGTTAACCCATGTTAACCAGAGGAGAAATAACCGGAAATACCAAGCAAATGCTACCCCGACGTAATGATTTATTTTGTAAATAAACTCGATTACGCCGATTTTCTTGTTTCCCCAGCTGGTCGACACCTCTTTGAGCAGAAACAAAGGCTACATTAATGTCTTACATCGATGTTAATCCATGCGTGTGGATGTGGAATCAACGGACGTGACGTTGTGCGATTGAGTTGCTAGGCAACAGCTTCGGTTCATGTTAATTTACAAACTATTCAACTACAACCGTAGTTATATTTAAAAACATGTTAGAAGGCCTCACGAAATACTTTAATGCACATTAAAATGTAAATGTGAAGGAATGTGTGTATAACAAAATACATCGGTCATAAACGAAACCGGAAACAGACGTAGGCAAGATCCTCAGCTCGATGATTGGATGGTTTAGCCACAATGCATGCTGGGATTTGGTGTTTATGTGATGTGAAATCTGAAAACGTTTTTTAAAAACACAATAATTCTTTATTCCGAGTGTGCTTGCTTTTCTCTTTGAAAGTCATCACATAACGGCATTGTAATACACGGTTCGGCTGCATTAAATATTACATATCTGCCGTAGTTCTCTATTTATAGAGCCCTGCTGAGAAGACTTCTAGACAAACAGGAGAACTGCCGCCAAAACTCAAAACGTGACGTGGATCATAAATATATAAGCAATTAAACAACATCTTACATTTATTTTCACACAATACGTCTCCTTGCAGTATCAACACTAATTCGGCTGACTTTTATATTTGATCCAATTGGTAGATAGGCTGTATTTACACTATAACGGTGCACAGCTGATAGAAAGGGACACCTGGTGGTTAAAGCACTGTTACAACCCGGCTCGTGGGCTGTAACATAAAGCAGGGAGGCGAGACGAGAGATAAGAATAATATAGTTTATTGTTAAAACACAACAAACTAAATAGACAGCAGCATCAGGTCCTGGCGCAGAGAAAGTGCCCAGAGGAGTGAGAGAGACGTATCCGGCTGGGCTCCTCCTATAACCAGTGGTGTAGTGGGCGTTGGACGCGGGGGTACGCCGTACCCCCACTTATTTGGAGCATGATCTTTTTTTTAATAGTCTAATAAATATAAAATCATTGCCAGTGTTATCAGATGCAAGTGTGTATTTGTTGTAATAATGACAAAAACATAATACATTTCACAGTAATTATAATACAAAATAAAAACGATTTCCTTAAAGAATTATGATTCGTCATCACGCTCGTGACCCCGGGGCGGGGTGGGGGTGTGTCAGTGAAGAGCTGCCGATTTTGCGGCAGCTCTTTCCCTCAAGAACGCTAACGAAAAAGCTCTATAATGGCAGGCAAACATTTTTTGCTTGACTTATTTTCTAAAAAGAATATAATTCACAAGAAGAAAGAGGCTAGCAGCACCGAAGCTACAAGTGAAGCTGCTACTAGACTAGCACTACATCATCAGAAGAGATGTCTACATCTAAAGATGTGAATGCTAGCACAACGTTAACGTTAGCCACACTCTCACTCCCTAAGCGTCCAGGAGCGACGTTTGGTCAGTGTCCGTGGCGTCCAGTTGTGACGCTCCTAGGCTCCTTCAGCGTCATAAAGGGACGCAAATAGCTTTCAACTGATTGCAATGTATTCCCATCTGCGGCGGGATTTGACGCTCATGGAAGCATTCGTTTGTGTCGGCTGCCCTTAAAGGCAATGTGAGCGTCCATTCCCATTGGATAACGGAGAATTGTACACCCGGAAGTAAGTATTCCTCTTACTGTCGATTGATTTTACAGTGATATCTGCACTACTCATCGACTAAAAAACAGCAGATTATCCTTGTTAATTACACAACATTGATTGGTTTAAGTTGTGTGCAATGCTTTTGTATTTTTCCCCTTCGATTCGAAGAAACAAATATTTTTTCGGAGTAAAGGATGGCAGAAGACACTACACTACCCAGAATCCCCAGCTATCGTTTGGACTACACCATGTGCTCTGTTTGACGTCACGTGATGTTCAAATTTCTCCCTGCAGAAAAAGAAAACATGGCCGAACTTCGTTTTATTCTCGGTGGAAAATGCCTATTTTAAAGTTAGTTTGGCCATTAAAATGCGTTTTGATGTCATTTGATGCGAAAAATATGAGTTGTTATTTCAGATTATGTGTGCAGTGGATGTACATGATCTTTAGTTTTCTAGTTATTACGAAGATTACTTCAGGAAATCGCGATGTTTTCATTGTTACCAAGGTGGTTGCTAGGGACGCTGCTATCGATATTATTTCTGTTATGTTGTGTAACTGTTTAATGGTGTTATCTTTATTGCTACCCCCTTCTCCGTCAATGTATAGTGTTGGTCCACAGCGCAAACATATTAGTTTAACAAAATCCGCATCTAAAGATAGCCTACGTTATTTTCCCCTGTGCAATTCCAGTCTCACATCTCACAGCACATCGTCATTAACAAATACCGGAAACAGACCGAAAACATTTAAAACAAATACATATATACTTTATTCCGAGTGTGCTTGCTTTTCTCTTTGGAAGTCATCACATACCGGCATTGTAACACACGGTTCGGCTGCATTACATATTACATATCTGCCGTAGTTCTGTATTTATAGAGCCCTGATGAGAAGACTTCTAGACAAACATGAGGAACTGAAAACGTGACGTGGATCATAAATATATCAACCATTAAACAACATCTTACATTTCTTTTCACACAATACGTCTCCTTGCAGTATCAACCCTAATTCGGCTGACTTTTATATTTGATCCAATTGGTAGATAGGCTGTATTTACACCATAAAGGTGCACAGCTGATATAAAGGGACACCTGGTGGTTAAAGCACGTTATTGAATTTCATTATTTGTATTATTAGATATTAATAGGATCCCTATAAAGTATTCATTACTCGTTATTCTCTACTAATAGTTAATTAAAGACTGTATGTAATGACTATTTTGCACATCCCTTTTCAAGATTTCAACTACAGTATGGTGTAGTTCTGCATTGAATGAAAAACTTGGGTCGCAGGTTCCTCAATAGTGCATTACAAGACATCTATCAATATTTGTGCATACCTCCAGCAATGTTAACTATGTTGAAGCACTTATTTTAACTGATATTATACATAATGTATTATACTCTTATAAGATGTATGTAGATATTTCATCTCCGACCTTGTCAGGTATTGAACAATCAATAAATAAAGAACACAGAATTGTTAAATATAAAACACAGAATTTGTGTGATTATACTAAATGATTTACAAATAAACACCACTGCATATTTACAACTGTTACACATGCTGATGTAACGCAAATGTTCCAACTTGGGATCAATAAAGTATATCTTATCTTAAGCTGATTGATGGCTACTGCCATAT